GTGAGACTGAAATTAACTGAATGAACTGAATGTGGTTTATCATTACACGACAAAGGCCTTCCTTGTAGAAGTATGCCTATGCTTTTGTTCAAGACTGACATATTTTTCTTAGCTTAATTTATAGCTAATTGGCTTAATTCCAAGCCTAGGTGGATAAATAAAATTGTCATTTTATTCCTACTTTAGGCATTTCTAATATTCTTCCTAAGCAGGTTATTATTACTGTTTCTCAGAAAAGAAACATCACAAATATTCTACTTACATGAAACAATGCTAGCATCTCTCTTAAGAAGAACTGATAAGATTCTATTACAGGGGAAGAGAGCCATTATGTAGATTTGGGAGAACTGGAAATATAATTTGGTTATGAAGTTATAATAGGAGTTACAAAATTAAAGTACTTTATATTGAAAGATTATCAACACATAAACCTAAATATTCTACTTATGGAGGTAAAACATTTTCAAATAATATAAACACTAATGTTAAATACAAAGACAAAACAAAACAAACTAAAGATGAGTTATCACACAAAATTATATTAAGAATTTAAGCATTCCTGGGAAATTAAAAGCAAATATAAAGTAGGTACGACAAATATTTTTACAAACTATACTTGAAAGTATTTGATAAAGTTATTAAACAGATAATAAAAGCAAAACATGAAAAACAACACGTGAACAGAAGCATGTATCAAATATGGAAAACAAACATCAATATAAAAGAACACATGGAAATGTATGCTTAATAATTTACATGAGAACAAATGAGACTGGAAAGTCAAGATGAAGATTTAAAAATCTTTTTCCATTTAATAAAATAATTTGCTGGAAAGAGAATTATCTTATCTCGACTACTATAAACTTTAAACAGTGAAGGATATAATATGAAGAGAACTATTAGGGAAAACTATTTGGGAACATTAATCATAATAATTCTGGTTATTGTGATCAATTATTATTATTATCATTATTATTTGTGTGTGTGTTTGTGTTTGTGTGTGTGTGTGTGTGTGTGTGTGTGTGTGTTGCTGTGGATTGAACACCTGGTCTTCTGCATAATAGGCAAGGATCTACCACAAACTACATAACGAGCCTTTTGTGTTCAGTAATTCCAATTGTATAAATCTATTTTAAATTCAGTAAAATGCCTGGGTAAATATTTATAGGTAGATGTTTTTACTAAGCCTTAACACAGCACAATAATAGCTAAGACATGACTTGTTCATTTGAAGTTAATTTTATGTTGTCCTTAAATTTAGAAGTTTGATAAAATTTTTAATGCAAGGAGAAAATGCTCATAATAGAGGAAATTAATTTATTCAATACATGACACAATGGATTTGGTATATTTATAAACACATTATGTTAAATTCTTTAATTTCTCATTATAGTTATGTAAGTTGGATATTATTTTCCCATCCCCAAGTGAGAAGTTTGAAAACAGGAGTAATGTTTGCCCAAGTTACCCTATAGTAAGTGGTAAGACTGTGGTCTGATCCACAATGTCTACAATCCCTTCATATATAGGTCCTGAGCTGCAATGTTGTGATAGAACTATACTAGTAACAAATACAGAAAGATGAAGCCCAAGAAGAAACAAACTAGACATTAGCTATGATTAATTCATTTATTTTTTATCCTTTGTGTAATTGTAATTCATAATTTGATTACAATAAGCACGTATTTTTGACAAGAAGAATAAATTTAAGAGCCAAGCAAAATAGAAAATTAAAATTATAATGAATATTTTGGTATCCATATTTGTTGCTGCACTATCCACAGAATTTCAAATGTATAGCCAGCCCAGATGACAGTAAGAAATAATAGATAAAACAATGTAACAATATATCCACAACTGAATTTCCTTCAGCTATAAAGAATAATAAAATTATGATATTTATAGGAAAAAGAAAGCTAGAAATCATCAAGTTAGTGAAATAAACAACTCAGAAAATTGTATCATTTAAGGTTTGACAGTCACTGATATTTCTAAAATTTCATTACATTATGCAAGAAAACATGAGATTTACAAAAGTTAATCATGAATACTGTAGCTATAAAAAAGGATTAATATAGTACATTTGAGCCTGAACTCTTCTGAGTAGACTAAAAAAGTAACTGAGAGAAAATGAAGTTAGATAAGCAACTTTAAATGGCAGATACCTTAAATTAGTAAGCTAAATTATCTTTTAAGATTTATTTGTAGTGTTAATCAAGTGTATGCCTGTGTATCTGTGTGCAGTTTTGTGCAAATGCATGTGGTGCTCATGGAAACCAGAAGAGGGCATTGAACTCCCTTGAGTTGGAGTTACAGGCAGTTGTAAGTCACCTTATATGGGTACTGGTAACTGAAATGGCATCAGTATATGCAGTTAACTACTGATTCATCTCCCAGCCCAGCTAAATTACTGTTTAAAGAAAATAATCATCATGTAACATGGCATTAAGTGAAAGAGAGAATGCTTTGTGTCAGTGGCTTCGTTAGATCCTGCTTGAGAGTCATTAGCTAGGCAATAGCAGGAAAATGTTGTTTGCTGATATTTTGTATAGTACAATTACAGGGAAAAAAAAACAAAACAAACTGGCTATTGAGCCAATGATGAAAAAGAAAAGAAGTAGAATCTACGGAAACAAATAAATGAGAAATACTAATTTTAGGCCACAGATAGAAAAATGTCAGTCACTACAAAATACCATCTGAGATATGTCTTGTTTAGACAGCAGAGTGCTTGTAATAGTTTTACATTTGAAATATTTCAGCAGGTCAGCAGACACTCTAATTTTATCTCCTTTCCATCCCTCCTGCCTAGGTCCCTATCAGCATCCAGAACCTTATGGGGACATGCTAGGAATCTGAAAAAAAAAGAAAAAAAAAATAGATAAGACCGAGTTCTGCTGTATGATGACAATTTATAAATATATTTTATCAATCAACTAGCAGAGTGCATAGGCTCCCAACAGAAATTAAAAACATGTTAAAAATACATGTTCTTATTGCCATTTCATATCAAAAACAGGCATTGGGTTATCATTTCTTTAAGACATCTTCTCTGGTTCTGTGATCAGAGCAGGATGTGAGCAGAGCAGAACTAGCCTTATGGTCCTCTCACCACTTTACTTGGAATTTTTCTGAGATTTAAAGACTGTATACCTTTATACAGATGAACTTCCTACTTGGCCAAGCCAGACCATTTTGCACAGTGGTATACATTCCCTCATAACTGAGACTTCTTTATTAGCTCAGAATTAGGCTCCATTTTTATGACTTCATAGTAGTCATGGTGTAACATAAAGATCTAATTGATCAAACAGATAAGTACAAAGTTTTAATTCTTTTTTTATCCCGTTGAATTATTTCATATTTCCTTTATTAACACAAATATTATTAATGAGAATATATGTGTAAATGATAACAAGAGAAATGAATTCAACATGAGACATTTGGCAAGAGTATATTATATCACTTAATACTAATATTGGTAATACTAGTTCTTATATTTTGTTCCATTCTTAAATAATTTAATGTAGTTTACATTTATGTACAGGGATCAAAATGCTGTATCTACAATTTTTGCTCTTAAGAGAAAATACTAATTGTTATACTACTGTATTTCTTCAGTTAAAGAGAAAATAGATGCCTTAATAGTTTATTGGAAAAATCATACAAAAGAAATGAATATGATAAATAAAAGGGAAATAAAAGTTCAAAGACCTTTGATGGCACACTTAGACAAACAAAACAATGCTTTGTAAATCAATATTACTTCTAAATTAAACTTATGCAAAGTTTATTTTAAAGGGAAATTGACAGTGCTCATATTCTTTGATGAAAATAATTTGCATAAGGGTTGGAGAGATGGCTCAGAGGTTGAGAGCACTGATTGCTCTTACAAAGGACCTGGGTTTGGTTCCGAACTGCCATTTGGCAGCTCACAGCCCCCTCTAACTCTAGTTCCATGGCATATGATGCCCTCTTCTGGTCTGTGATGGCACTGCATGAACATGAGGCAGTTGCATACATGCAGGCAAAACACTCAAGTACATAAAATTTTTAAAAAAATCTTTTTTAAAAAAGAAAATAAGCTTCTTAATTGCCTAGGGAATTGGAAGACAGATTTCATTGTTAAGCTTCAGATTTAAGAGGGTTGGGATAAAGAATTACTGATCCCATGTTTTTGCTCAGTACTCCTTCTCTGATGATTATAGTTCTAGGAAAGTGCTATTGTGTACGTGCCATTACACAAACTATACCTTCTGTGTGTCTTGTGCTTATATGTACTTTCCCAGTTACTCTGTGCCATCCCACCTGCTTGGTTCACACATTTTAATGTGTGAACATGGAGTGTATGCCTCATCTTTAAGAAGATATTAGCCCTTTAAGAATTCATGTTAAATAAAGGGCAGGAAGAAGCACTGTGAAGGGTTATCTAAATGAGACCTCGCTTACACTACTTTCCTGGGAGTATTTTTAAAGTTGCAAAGGCCTGTTTTCTAAAGTTCCAAAGATAATCTTGGTACAGTTTTGCCCTATTGGAAGCTGGGCAGAATATTAGACCATTCTTCCTGTAAGCCTAGCTGTACCTATTAACTCATCCTGGATCTCTAAGTCTTGCTCTGCCTTTTAACTTTCTTTGTATAATAAAGCATGCTCTCCTTATACTGAGAGGAGAAGAAAGGATATACCCTATTCATGAGTTTCTAGCAGCTATCAAGGTATCATCAAATGTGGTTCATTTTAGAGAATGAATGTTTGAGTGGAAAATGAAGCTCCCACGCTGACGGTGGCAGTGCAGTGGATCATTTTGTTCTTTAATGTCACACTTCACCGGACACACTTCACAGAGCAGTGAATCGGGCTTAAAACAAGCAGCCTGTTCTTTAACGACAGCATAATGCCACTGAGGTGAATAGGAAGTGTTAGAAGTCTTAACTTCTGCTTACAGCATCTCTCTCAGGTGTCTGATGGATCATTTACAAAGTACATATGCTATTTTATAGATTGGGACTTGGGATCCAGCCAGTGGCCTGAATATGACAGAAAGTCAAAAGGGAAAACCCGCTAACATCACAGATTCCTTGTCTAACCGTTCTTTGATTGTTACCACCATTTTGGTAAGTATTGTTTTTTCATTATTTTTAGATAACTGTAGATACCATGAAAATAGATAGAAAAGGACATTATAACGGGGACAGTAATAAACAGAATACAATGGTGTTTTAACTATTTAGCAATAACTGTATACAGTGATATGTCATATTAATATTTGGAATGTCTGTATTAACTAAAACAGCTTACTATATTATTAGAAATCTTTACATTTCTACAAAAGTAGTTACTATTAAATGTCAATGTCCACAACTGAAAATACATAGACATGCAGAAGTGGTCAGTGAGTAGCCAACCTTAAACTCTATTTTCATACTTTTATAAAAAATATATTTCACAGTACATAGCATTTATGTTTCAATATTTTCTGTAATAATTATAGTTTAACATTGTTATCAGTTTCATTGTTTCCTACTGAAATAATCACGTTTACTTTAATAATTTTCTTTATGAAATCTAATGGAAACTACTTTTTAAAAGACGACAGAAATATTGTCACTACAACCATAATTAAATCACTCCTGATCAGCTAGATATTTTTTATCTCTTTTGTAGTTACATGTTTTAATTAGATCACACACTAATGGTCACTTAGGCCATTTGCTAAAGAGAGTCGTAATTTTAGAATAAAAAGAAATTCTTACAGCATTTGGTCAGAAATTTCTATCTGCAGCTAAAGCATGCCAATGTACTTCTTTTCTGTCTCCTAGGTTGACAGAAAAATGTGCAGTTAGAATACTTAAACCTCTGTAAACATTTGGCATCCATATGAGTTATCAATTTGATTACAGTGACAAATCAAGCCAGCAGGGATTAATATTTTTGAATTGCAGTAACAAAAGGGATATCACAGCTGGAGGCCTGTCAGAACAAAATAGTTTTGGTTAAAGTCTTTTGATAATGAAGCCGAGCTGGCACCTGTGAACTCACAGTGACGGTGAAGGTGGCCTGAGGCTTTTAATCATTTCCGTGCCAAGGACCCCAGACACTCTTCTCAACCTCTGCAGCACTCTTTCAGTTAATTTTGGTCCCACGCACTTTTTTTTTTCTACAAAGATAACTTCCTTGTCGATCAAATCAATGTGGTTTTTCAGTCCTAATGTCCTTACAGGACAATAATTCACCTGTCTTCTTTTCCACCAAATGGCCTTGCTCTCACAGCTCTCTGACAAGGCTGTTACACTATGTTGCTGTCTCTTCTGCAGATAGCCAGACTCTTCTCTTGAAATTTCTTACTGTAAAAATAAAATTCTACCATTTTTCTGTGTACATGCTTTAAAACTCTTAAAAACAACCAAAATCCCTGCCTTTACATCCAAGTTCTTACACAATCTTAACTCATCACACCTTTTATTCTTATTTTTATTTTCCTGTCACGAAGCCTATGTTCTAATTGAACTGGGATAACCAGTTAGCGTTCTATTGTGGCTGTATAAGCCTCTCTCTCTCCCTCTCTCTTTCTCTCTCTCTCTCTCTCTCTTTCTCTCTCCTCTCTCTCCTCATCTTCCTCTGTCTCTCTCCCTCCCTCCTTCCTCCCTCCCTCCCTCCCTCTCATCTCTCTCATCTCTCTTGTTTCTCTTGTCTCTCTCCTCTCTCTCCTCTCTCTGTCTCCCCTCTGGGATTAAAATTCTGCACCATCATGCCCGGCATAAGCCTTGACCTCTTTTTTTCTACAAATGTTCTTCTCCATTTCTCTAACATTATTGTATTTTTCATTGACATACAATTCAAAATTATTAGCTTGCTGTTCTTGATTATCATATGCATCACCTTCCTAAGCATCACTGAACAGTCCTTTGAGGAACAGAAGTTGACTATGTTTTTCTCACAAAGCTCATAGAGTAAGGCTCGCCATGGAAGGGACATCTGTAGCACTCAATAACCCAGGTGTTTCTATCCTCTCTAAACCAGACTCCCAAATATATCATCTGTTTTATGCCTCCAAACTAGTAGTTCCATGATGACACTTATCGTAGGCCCTTTTTAAAATTTTTGAGCATTTGTGCATACCTCTATTTCCATTTAACATGCAACTTCACAAAGCCAATAATCAATTTTATATGCTTTTGAATTACTTGTTACTCAGTTCTTTATTTTCCACTTTTATTCTTCACTGTAATTCATCATTTAGATGCATCGCCAATGCTCTGTACCCCATGATTACTCTGCTAAATTGGCCAAGTGTTGGGGATGGGAAGGAGTGTGCTTTAAATCACAGTAGTTCCATGATGGCACTTAACATGGGCGCTTTTTAAATTTTTTGAGCATTTGTGCATATCTCTATTTCCATTTCACATGAAACTTCACAAAGCTAATAATTTTATATGCTTTTCAGTTAATACTGTCAGGGATAAATGCCATTGGTATATAGATAATGTTTATTCAATATTTATCAAAACAAATCAAACAAATGATATTTAAATAACTGAATAATTATAGGAAGAAACAAGTTTTGAATGACTATATTTTTCAAATGTGCAGGTTATTACATTTGTCTTGTATAAAAAAAAAGAGGTGATTAAAACTGCCCAGTTTCTCAATGCTGCTTAATTATTTGGGATTACTTTTTAAGAAATGCTCATGTATTGTCTCAATAATAAGCAACTTTTGACTTATTTATTTTTATTTTATGTGTATGAGTTATGCCTGCATGTGTGGAAATGCCCCTGTGTAGTATACTGTCTGTGAAACACAGAGGAGGGTGTTGGGTACCTGGAACTGGAGTTACAGATGGTTGTTAGCTGCCATGTGAGTGCTGGGATTCAAACCTGGGTCTTCTGCAAGAACAGCTTGTGTTCTTAACCACTGAGCCATCTCTCTCGGCCCCAATAATAAGCAATTTTACATTTACGAGCATTCAAACAGAATTTAATTTTACTGGGGATTTTTGTTTGTTTTTGTTTTATTTTGTTTTGTTTTTGGTACTGGAGATTGAACCCAGGGCCTGGCATATGCTAAGCCAGTGCTCTAACATGGAGCTACATTTCCAGACCATGTTTTACTTTTTGTTTTGAGACAGGGTATTGCTAGATACAAAATCTGGCCTTGACTTCACATTGGAGCTCAAGGTATTCTTGAATCTGGAATCTTCTGCTTCAACATCCCAAATAGTTGAGATTACAGGCCTGTATGACCAAACCAGGCTACTTTTAGGTTTCTATCAGAGTCAGCTATAAAGCTTTAAGAAAATACTGCTACCTACCCAAAGCAAACCTACAGCATTTGAAATAGTATTTCTGTGTTTTGGGCTTAAACATTTTGTTTTTTTAAAGTTCCATGTATAGTGCTGACTTGCAGTGTTGCTGGATAAGTACTACTTAGTTCAGCACTCCTTTGAACTAAAAATATATCAAACATGCATGATGCTTAAATTTTATGAGGTGCTATTTAGTTTACAGAGTATGCCACTTTACTGATTTCTTAAAGATTCTATTATTTCCTGAAAGGAAAGAAAAAAACATAGTTTCATATTCCATATTTGAAAAGTATTTTTCTAAGTTCTCTGGTCATCAACTGTCCACAATTAAGACTAAAACTATTTGAAGGGCTTATTTATCACATTTATGTGCACCTTAGTATAATTTGATATGATTTTCTAGTATTTCAGGTATATGTTGTAGAGAGATTGTGTGTACTTCATTAAATTATGGCTAATTTTTTTTCTCATCATCATAAAACCTCAGAAGAAATTCGGCTATGTTATAATAAATAACATTTCTCCCAGAGTTCCTGTTGAACAAAGAGACACAAAAAGCAGTCCAGTTACTGTTCTTATTCAACTTTTTTTGATTGTTTTTTGAAGAAGGGGTCTCCCTGTAGCCCCAGGTGGCCTAGAACTCACTGTGTAGACCAGGTTGGACTCTATCTCAGAGACCCACTTGCCTCTGCTTCCAAAGTGCTAGCATTAAAGGCTTGTACCAAGATGCCCAGGTTTTATTTAACATTTTTAAAATAATTTTAATTATTTATTTAATAACAACATGAGTAGAAGAAGCATTTCATTACAGCTTTAAAATATTCAATAACAATTTCCAGAGCAAAGACATATCTCTTTCAACAGTGGCTGTAAATTTTTAGGTTCACACTTGAATTAATACAGTTATACAATATTTAATTCAGTATAAACTTGAAAGAGCTCAAGAGAGGTGGGACCATAGGAGAAGGGTATTCTTAAGGGTGAAATGGGGAAAAAGGGGGCACCTTAAATGGGGAAACCATGATGGAAAGGTTACACAATGCGAGAGATAAATAATGCATAGCTAGTTTTAAAAACCAGAGGGAACCATAGTAGTCCAACATCCTACTGACAAATTATACATACAACTAGATTAATGAATATAATATATGCCTCGGCAAGGTTAACATAAGAATGTTTGGTCTTTGTCCAAGTTTTATCTACATGGCACATGGTAATTAAAAGTACCAGACTAGTGGAATGAACCTTCTTGGATGTTTAACAGTCATACTTTGAGGCCTATACTAATTTGGTCAGAGGGACATAAAGGACAGTTTTTCTCCTTGACCCCCTAGGTCTACTAAGTTCCAGGGGACTGTAAGTATCTCTCAAAAATGTCCTGTAACTGCCATGAGTTACCTGTCCTCTGGATCAGGGAGGCCATGGAAACTCCATCAAATGGGCTTGAATCAGTGTTCCGTCTACAAAGAGGAGGGTCAACGCAGAGGAAACATTTCCTCCATGCTTCCAAGTGGAGTCAGCCATGGTTGAGTAGGACCTTTGACTTATTTAGCATTTTTATATCATGTCTTTTAAAGTGAAGTCTACACAATCAAGCTAATTATAACTAGCTAGTTCTACAGAAACTTTGTTCACTTAGTTTTCTGTATTCAATCTTTCACTAGATTGATATTTAGTGAGTAATGATGGTATACCGAGTATTATGCTAAAATTTCTCAGTATTATTTTATTCAGAATGTATATCTGTTTGTATATATTCTGGCCTATAGATGTAAAAATGACAAGGATGCATATAGGGAAACACACACA